AGTTCATGGGGCACTTCCACTTCCAAATCAACTAGAGCAACTCGATCCTTACCAGATCACTTCTCCTCTACCAAGGGACAGGGTGATCCTTTCCCACAGATAACAGAGCTGGGTCCGTCCTCTCTGGTGCAGCCCAACTACACTGCTGCAGCACTCTGCTTTTAAATATGTGTCCTTTTCTACTCGCCAGTGAGCCCCTTGAGAGCAGAGACCACCTGTCAGCATAGAGCCTGGCATTTGGTTACCATCTGATGAATGGTTTGAAATGAATAAGTGGACTTGAAGCAAAAAGGATCCAGAAACCACATTAATATTGTATATTAATAGAATAGGAACTTTTTAGCTAAATGATCCTATGGTTGCTGACTCCACTGACAATTAATTTGGAGCACCTACAGAGTCACATGAAGACATTTTTGACGTGGGTTTTGTTCTTAGTTTGAAGGAGAGATTAGGTCATCTGAAAGGCTTTCTTTCAGGTTTCGTCTGTGAACCTGAACACTGAATGATTAATGGAATCATATCTGGAAACTGCCACTTCAATAACTTATAAAAAAAATCTAATGATTTGATATCAGGTTAACCATGGAGATATTGGAAGCACAGAGGAGATTAGATCTGAATAAGAGATTCTGTCAGGGTCAATGACAAATCCAGCTGCTTCCAAGATCTCCCACATTCAGAAGTTTCTGCTTGGATTCCATCAGAATAGTGAGTGGGTATGGTAGGAAAGTTAGGATAAAATGTATTGCTTGAAGGACCCTCGTAAGGAGAGCTCACACCTCTTTCCACGACATACTGACTTAGGAATAAGTGTTCTGACAACGTGGATTTCAATCTCAAATGCTACTGCATTGGAGGGAAAGTTCTTCACCTCCACATTGGGGTAGAGAGCTGCTCTGGGAACTTGGCCATGAGACACCTGGAAATTTCTTTCATCAATAAACATTTATCAGGATTCGAAGATCGCAAGCTCTTACCACCTGAAATGAATTATTAGAAGGCATGTCTACAGATGGTCTCTGGGGTGCACTCATGGTGGTAAAAAGGAGCATGGGAACTGGAGTCAGCGTGTCTGAGTTTAAATCTCGCTTTGGGACTTGAGGCAACTCACATCTCCCGAGGCTCAGCTGACTCATACCCAGAATGGACACCATCCTCCTCCTCACTGGGCTCTGGAGGAGACTGCCTTCCCTAATGTAGATCATGCACGTAGCAGTGGGCTGGCAACGTGTCAAGCACTCAGGAAATATTAGTTGCCCCTCTTCCTTTCTGAGTGATAATTTGTTTACTGGGAAGAAAACAAAACGCAATACCTGGTACTCAAGGAATTTATATTATAATATAGTCGCAAAGGCAAAGGTTATACCTACAAAAGATATACAGCTAGTCCTAACTGGGTAAGATGAATACCTAGCTGATGGTATGATCCACAGTGCTGTGAGTGTAAAAACAAAGTGACTATCACAGGAGAAGGCTTCCTGGAGGAGGCAGAATTTGAGCCAGATCTTTGAGAATGGTGGGATGAGATGGACAGAGAGGAGTGGGTAGAGCCGGCCAATCCAGACAGAAATAAGAGAAGTACATAGTAAGGTTGTACAGGGCAAATTCTGATAATATGCACAGACTGGTCTTGCTGGAAAAGCTTTTACTTATTGAAATATCTAAACATAAGGCTTTTGGTAAATGGTAATGGGACTTGAAAAGCTGGGCTAGAAAACTGTCTTTATCTGGTAGATAACGGAAAGCTGGTGAAGGTCTTAGAGCACGAGAGAGCATGGGCAAACCATCTCATCTAGAAAACCCGCGAGACTACACCATTCACTCTGGTGTTACGAGCCATGCTGCTGCGAAAAAGTCCCTTTCATTCCGCTAAAACTAAGTAAGTCACTGAAGACCCACTGCAGAGCTCCAAGGAAAACATTTTATGAATCAAAAGCTAAGTACAATATGTTAGCAATTAAATGAGATAACATAATAGCCGAGGCAGAACCGTGGCTTTTCCCCCCGCCACGATTCCAAGCTGCTGCAGAAAAGAAATGCTTATATCATCTTCCAAGTTATCAAGCCATTTCATTTTTATTTTCGGAAGGCAGGGAGAGGAAATGGGAAGAGTGGGGAGGTCAAGAGGATTGGAGGCTGTCTGCTCTTTAATCAGAAGGCACTATGAAGGAGAGCTAGAGAGGAGATTTGCTCAAAACCAAACCTGCCGCGGGATGGTGTTAAGTTACTGCCACTTGGTTCCACTGCAGAGCAGCAAATGAAGGTGTGCAGTGGTGAAGGAAAGTCCCCCAGGCCGCTCCGAGGTTTCCGGTGCATACCTCCCACTGCTACTTTATTTACTGCAGCTGGCCAGCGTTTATAGCCTGTTTCATGTATTAAAATTCAAATGTGGAAAACATTACCAGGATCCTCCTTGCATTTTTTTTGTTGTTGTTGAGGGGAATGGTTTTTTTTTTTTCTCGTTTTTTTTCCCTCCCTCTTCCCCTTCAACTTCCTTTTTATGGTGGAATGCATCAACTGGTCAAAGGCTAACTTCAGACTAACTTCAGAAACTATTTCCTTTGTTCTTGGGCTTTTGTTTGAAGATGTATACGGGTTCGCACAAGAAAATGACAACCCAATCTCATCCACCCACGTGATGGAGTTTCAGGTGGAGGAGCCCGGATTCTGGGGGCTGCTAAGTATTTTTGAGAAGAGAAAAAAAAAAAAAAAGACCACACAGTCCCACTTGGGTTCAAGGCCAGCAGGTTGTGGCCATATCATGTCTCTGGAGTTGCTTTCCTGTCTGGGGGGGGGTGGGGGGGGGTGGGGGTGGGGGTGTCTGTGGTTGTCCTTCATGGAATTAGAAATGTCTTCAGAGGAGCAGGCAAGAACTTTTCCTCCTCAGCAAAACTAGCGGCTTTACTGCATCTGCACCATTTTTCAAAGTGAAAGACACTCCCTTGTAATGCTGGCTGATTAGTTCCGCTTTTTTCTCCTTTCCCTTCACCTAGGTCCATCCCACTTCCCATCTCCAAAGATGATTCCAGTCTCTTCCCATCCCACCTCTGAGTCAGCCTCAAAGAGGAGGCAACTCAAAGGTCACACAGTTCCAAACAGCATCTATGCAGAGTTTATTATTTTAAAGAATCACTTAACCTACATCTGGTATTTAAGAGCAAACTTTACATATTTGTGGGGGGAAAACAGCTCTGAAGCAATGCCCTGGGTGCATGTGGCATCCGTTTAACATATGCAAAACGAACACAGCTACAGAAATTAAACTATTTTTCTCTTGATTGAGAGCAGATATACAGAAATGGTTATAAGTCACAGATCTGGCTTTTAATAAAGCCAGATTTCTTAATTAAAAGCAGTATTGTTTAAACACTGTCGTTTAAAAAAAAAAAGAGCTGTACAAACTGAAATCTCATATTATATGCATCCCAAGTGTATTTAACACATTACCTGAGGCCAAGCTAAATTAAAATCTAGATTTTCCTTTTGTTAACTCTTAGCAACTGCCATGAATAGACAAACAATTTCTACTCAGTGATGAATTCTTGGGGTAGAGGTCAAGGAAAAGCAAAAAATGATTTAGCTTTGGCATTCAAAAATATCTTTCCACGTCTTAGAAGTGAGTTCATTGCTTCTATTTATAAACCAGTATTTTTGGTTTCAAATTGGTTGCAGGTTTCCATAACACACTCCCAGGATGGTCCTCTCCGTCTTTTACTAAGAGAAGTCGAAAGGACGCAGAAGAACAGGACGGAGCAAGGAGCCTCAGAATGACCTGCACTTATTTTGCATTCTTCTCTCAGAATCACCGTTAAACCAGATAACACTAAAACAACTTTTTAAGTCTATAAGGTACAAAAGAGGACCAAAAAGTGTTTACTGCTCAGGTAGGAGTTTGTAAGGACTTACACAGAATCACTAATAACATTAAATCCTCCCCCCATTCGGACCTCATTGATTGTCATCACTTAATATTTTGTTAGGAAGATTCTCTGGATCTTCATAACCATCCCAGAAAGGGATGCACTCTCAAATCCTCACCAAAAGCAGTTGGCAACGCTGAGATCCCAACTGTAATGTGGACAAATCTCCTTAAGCTGCATTCAAATACAGACTTAGGAAGAGGCAGTGGTAAAACTTCTGTGCACTTTAATTACAGTCCCACACCAGATATTTGGACAGACAAACCCATCATATATTTCTGCATCCTATACTCAAAATTCAAAGACACTGATTCATTTCTTTAATGAAAAAATCCAACCTACTCATACCTGTAATGCCAGCACTGTAACATGAACATAAGATGGTTGGGTCCTTGAGTCAAAGCCACCACGAAGGAGAATTTAAAATACTAGCGATGACCCAGCAGTGCTCTCCTGTGTATGTCCTTCAGGGAAATGAAGATGTGCCCACACTATAGCCCATACATAAATGTTCATAGGAGCATTATTCCTAACAGCCAGAATGGAAATAATTCAAATATCCATCACCCGACGCAGATAAATGCAATGCACACAATGAAACACTGTTTGTCAACATAAATGATGACACTCTGATAGACGATAAAGAATGCATAAACCTGGAAAACATTTTGCTAAGCTGGAAAAGCTAGTCAGAAAAGATACTACGTGTTGTATGATTCCATACATTTCACAGGAAAAATCTAGATTAGGCAAATCTATTGGTGGAAAAATTATATCAGGATTGCCAAGGGCTGGAGGGGTTGGGGGAGAGTGGAGAGTGGCTGCTGATGGCAATGAGGATTTCTTTTCATTTTGCTGGGGGCAAAGTGTTCTAAAATTAGAGTGTGGCAACGGTTACATAACCCTGTGACTATACCAAAACACAGCGAAAGATCAGCCTTAAATGGGTGAATTGCATACTAAGTGACCATACCTCAATAAAGCTATTTTTAAAAAGGGAAAAACAGCAGCGGTCGTGTTTACAATTGAAAATCTAATTTCATACAATAACTATAGTCTATGAAGTTCACCACTTACCATGAGTGAATGTCTGTTGGCTGAAAGAAGACCGGTTCCATACCCTGAGCCCAGACCGCCCATTGCTCCGTTATGAGAAGGTCCAATGATCCCATGCATGTCCCCGTGGCTGCCAGGCATAGCGGTGGAGGGGCCCACTGCATGATTTCGGAGAACATGAATAGCATCATCCAGTCTTTCTAAACGATCTTCAATCCGGCTTTGCTGTTGATTAATAAATGATGTGAAATTTGATTCAGTTGGAAATTATGTTACATAAGTAGAACTTGAGTTCACATGCACCCCACTTTGAGTTTCTAAATGTTTCCAATAAAGATTATTTCCTTAAAATAATAATAAGAATAGCATCTTGCCTAGACAACTTGTGACAAATGTTAATGTTATAATCATAGTGTTTTTCTTTTTTATTTTAATATATATTTTTTTATTGATATTTTACAGAGAGGAGGAAGGGAGAGAGCTAGAGAGCTAGAAATGTCGATGAGAGAGAAACATTGACCAGATGCCTCTTGCACACCCCCGACTGGGGATGTGCCCACAACCAATGTACATGCCCTTGACCGGAATCGAACCTGGGACCCTTCAGTCTGCAGACCGACGCTCTACCACTGAGCCAAACCGGTTTCGGCCATAGTGTTGTTTTTCATGAACAAAGTAAATTCAGTAATTCTTCCAGGATATTTGAATGTACAGATGCTATCCTATATTGCATTAGCTTGAAAGAGAATTTAGATTTACTTTAGAAAAGCATTTATTAAATTTAAGAAACATTCCTATAGTCATTGGCAAAAAGATTTTTAAATATTAGCAATGAAATGGTGACCTATTTATAGCTCCCCAATTAAATTATCTTCTTGAAGGTATATTCCTTTATGACATATGATACAGTGCTAACTAATCAATTCAGGGATGGGTAAATACAAACAGACAGTAATTTCTTGAGCTACTATTGATTTTCACCTGTGTTTCTTGCTACCTATTTTCATGAGCCTGTATGTGTGTGCAAGTGTGTATGTGTGTATGTGTGTGTGTGTACAGAAAGAAGTGGGAACTCAAGTAATCACTGAAAAAAATTACAAAAATTCTGTTAACCAACAAGGTATGAGAGATTTCATAACTGAAGATTCACAAAGAACTGAATTAATGTTTACCAGAGCTTCTAAATGATTTCAAAGTCCTCACTATAGTATAGAATTTACTCCCTTATACAAGTATATGATTAAAAACCAATTTAACTTTCTTTCTCATCCCAGACATTAAGATCCAACTTGCCTGCGTCTAGATAATGTCTGTACTATGGTTTTTGGTGAAGAACATGGACATGCAGTTGTGTAGTCACTTTTTTCCAGTGTGATAAATTATGATATCAAATACACATCTGCATAGGACTCTCCAGTGCATATTTTAACATCTAATATCCCATGAGCCCTCACTCTACATGAGTGAGGCAAGCAGGGGAGACAATATTACCCCTTCCACATAGATGTGCGAATGAGGCTCCACGAAATTAAATGAATTAATTAATCAGTGTCACAGTACCAGGAAGTGACAAAGTCGGGGTACAAATCTAAGTCTTTTGACTTCAAATCTCATGTCCTTTTGTACTACAGCATGCTTCCATCCGCTCTGCTTTTCAGTGGGCTGTGCAAACAGATGTGCCAGCTTTACTGTATGAGAAGAACCATTTCTAATTATTCCACCCTGACAGGAAGAATGTGTGTCTAATGCACTTCGTCTACGGTGCAGAGCATTCTGGTTTGGTGGCCTTTGGTGTTACAGGACCTCCCCTAAATGACTAGCATGGCTGCTACTATGACCTTGGAAAACTTGTTAACTTCTTTGAGTCTACGCTTCTTAATTTTAAAAATAGGAATGCATACATACATATATATATACATATATACATACACTTCCAAGTGTAAATGTAAGCATGAAAAGAAAGAATACATGTGCCTACCATCCTTCCTGGCTCACAGCTTCCTGGAGGAGAGAGCAGTTTCTGCGTGCGAATCCCCTCTTGAGAATTTAAAGGAACTAAAGCTGTAGTTCACAACTTTAAACCCAGTCTTTACAGTTTTAGAGTTGGACAAAGCCCAGTTTTGATAGATGGGTCCCAGAGAATAAGTGACGGAGGTAAACACTGGCTGCAGATTAGTGGGGCTGGGGAGGTAGTGCATATGCCGCCTCACTCTGTGGCTGCATTTACCGGCTAACATGCCGAGTTGGAGGATTCATAGCAGAGAGAGAACAAGGGGGGAACTATACCTTTGTATTTTTAATTTTAGATTTTCCTTAATTTAAATGGTAAGCCGGAAGAGAGGGAAACCCTGAACCGCTGACAAGAAAACATGAAATGAGATAGAGATGTGTATGCCTTCTTCCATGTCACCTCAACAAAGGGAAACAAGGCGGAAAGACTGAAGAGCTCCTTGCTGCTCCCCCTCCCGGTTTGGTTCATACACAGCCTGATGATACTGCACTGTGTGGTGGTGTTTCATGCGTATTTCCAGTCCCATCGCTGAGACCTGAGAAAGCCTAGAGAGTCAGACACTGAATCACCACCTACTTATAATATTCATTAACCCCATGCACATGTTCAGCCTTTACCTATTGGAAGAGCAGACATGTATGTGCTGCTATTACTAGGTTTCTGTGAGAACCAAAGTGAACAAGGAAGTAGTAGTAGGCTTCTGATTCCAAGGTCAAGAGGAAAATGCCTATAACGCTGTTATTCTGGGAAGCAGAGAAGAGACATATAGGATCTTCAAGTGGTGCCGTACACAGCTTAGCCGCATCTTCAGCAGCTCATCTCAGGGAATTAATCTAATCACCGGCAGGGATCTTTCCCCAGATGGGAGGGGCCACTATTCTTCCAGGATTTTTAATCTTCTATCTGGTCCTAGATCTTTAGAGCCCTGAGCTTACACTGGCTATGGTATCTGGGTTACAAACTACAAACAGGAACAAACACAGTCTAATCTTGGAGTGAACCAGAGGCAAAAAGAGAAACACGCTCTGAAGTGGCTGGAGCGGAGAGGAGTGGGGGACTTACCAAGGAGTGCAAGGGTCCTTCATAGTTAGGAGATGATGAGGCCTGCCCTCCATTTCTGGACCAAACAGCTGTGCCTGCTGATAGGAATGAGGGAATTACAATGTGATCGACATCATCGTAAAAACAACCTCACCGACACTTCAAACAGTTCTCTTAGCCACAGAAGGCTGATTTCCACATGGACCCTAAGGTGAGCCTCCCATCCAAAAATTCTGGGGCACGGAAAACATCTTAAATGTAAAACACGGAGACGCTACATAGACAGACTCAGAATTCTCTCAAGCTTCCTAAAAGGAGGACTTTTAGCTAGAGAAATGATCCTTTGAAGAAAACTGTTACTACATAGTCAAGGTCCTTTTAAGAGTGCAAGAGGCAGGGGGTGGGGGTGGGGGGAGGGAAGGGGGACAGACTTTATTATGCCTCCTTGCAAGGCAAGTTTGTTAAACCAAAGTTCTGTCACCAATGAAAAACAGCTTTGTGACTTGGTTTTAAAATGATCCTTGAGAAGCAGTAAGCCTTCAGAAACTTTTTAAGGAAATAAGATTAGTTGGCAGGAATCCACAGAACCCACAATTTAAAAACTCAACATCACAACAGTAATAAGTAAGTAGTTTCTTCTGAAGAAAATTTCTTTTTTAACGATTCGCTAAACCTGCGGGTAAAGAAAGATGCCCGCCATAATAAATATTACATGTCTAACATTCTCCTTTTAAATTTAAAATAATATGCACTCGGAATAGAAGATAAATAATTCAAGGAAGGGAAATAAAATCTACGATGTCACTGAACTCTCACGCCCGACACAGTTAGCACTTTAAATACTCATTCTCCTGTCATTCCTGGGGGTGCGTGCGTGTGTATTCCGATGCTAAATGAAAATAGAGTATTTTGTCCAGTTACTTTCAGTGACAGAATCTGGACAGAGCTCTCAGCGTGAAAACGGCGAGCTGCCCCGGGTCTACATCCTCATGAGGCCCTTCTCTGCTGCCGGCTGGCCTTCCAGGATGGGTTCCCAGGGCCTCGCGATGGCCTTGTTTCTACTCTTTCCCTGAGAGCACCCTGCTCAGGTTCAGAGTATTTGGGGCGTTTTCCGGCATGATTTGTGCACCGCTACTTTCGGCACCCCATTAACCTGGATCCCAGAGGCAGAATTGCGAGCACCCGGATCTTTGCTACAGACTTAACCTTATGCATTAGACTAAGATAGTGGTTCTCAAGCTTTATCAGACTCTAGAATTTCCCCCAAATTATAAAAGAGACAACATTAGAGTTGTTCTGCTTGAAGGGGCATATGGGGTTCTTTGTCCCTGCTCAGACCCCTGCTCGTGGGCCTCATGGGATGCTGCCCTGTGTAAGGGGCTGGTGGTCACTTCCCAGAGTGAACAGCATGGCAGGCACCGCACCACGCTGAGCTCCCCTTGTCTTTTCTATCCTGGGGGATGCCTCCCTGCTGCTGCAGCATCCCTTACTATCATCTCTGTTTCTTCCCAGTTTCAACTCTGTCTCTCTGGGCATTGGGACTTAAATGTCCAGCTCCCCCTCTCTATTCTGTGACCGCTGCCCCCAACCGCCCCCCATGTCAACGGAGGCTTGGGAAGGCTGACATCAAACCCCACCTCCGGAAGCTTGGTGGAGATCTGAGACCAGAGAGCTGGGTTGTGGTGGGCCCTGTGAGTGCTGCTCCAGGGATGGAGGAGGCAGCATTTCGGCAAGCGACTTGCTATAAATTACAGAAAGGTCAGGTTTCAATGAGGTACAGATGTGACTTAGTTCTGTGCTAGAAGCCACCTGCCCTCTTTCCAGAGTGTGGGGACAGGCCCCAGGCAGGGCCTTCTGGAAGCGTTTATACTGGAAGGGCAATAGCCTTTCAGACGGACCTCTGCTTTGCTAACATAACGTAAGAACTTACATTTTATTACCTGAAGCCACCGTTCACGTAATTTGTTATTTTTAAAGGCAAACATCCCCTTTTACTTCACACACTTCACAACTTATTTACAAGATCACAGTTTCCTCAAACATTCCAATTACATGGACTCCAAAGAGGGGATGTGGAAAGTCTAAAGTTTCTGTCGGAAAAGAGCCTCTTGGATAGTCTGTATTTGATGACTGTGCAATCTATGTACTACCTGCTCTCGTTTGAGATGTTTTATTAGAACATGGTATTCTATGGAGTATCTTCTAAAGAGCCGGGAAAATTTTTAGAAATAAGTTTCCCATATGCCTGAACATTTTTTAAAAAAACATCTAATTTTTAAGAGAAGTTTGGGTGTCCATGGCTGTGCCTTCACGGCAGGCGGCCTCTCCACTCTGTTCTGTGTGTCAGGAAATGGGGTTGGAGCCCGTGGAGGGACGGGGTTCCCCTCCCATGCTGGGAGCCCAGGGGCCATCACTCACCAGCGGGCACCGCGAGGAGTGGGAGCAAGGACAGTACCTGAGAGAGAAGGCGGAGAGCCAACAGGAGTTGAAGGGTTTGATGAGAAGCTGTTGTTAGTGTGATCTGGAGAATAGATCTTAAAACAACGGGGAGAAAAGAAAACAGATCCTCATTATTAGGAACAAACAATCAACTATTTTGTCAAGTGCGAAGTAGCCATGCAATTCATTTAAAAACTACAATGTACAAAATACATTTAGCGATCAACTGCAGTAACGATAGGTAACCACTTTAATTTTTCAAAACCAGAATTATTATACTAAGGTCATATAGGATAGTCGGAAAAGACCGGGACTGGAGGTCAGCAAACTACTTCTCTAGTCCTTTTCCGCCCACTGCCGCCCGTGGCTGCCTGGCTGTGAGCAAGCCACAGAGAAACACAAAACAGGCCAGACCACGTCATCCCTGAGATTGCTGCCCAACTCCCTCTTCACCATGATTAAGGCATTTGATTCCAAGACGTAAGAATGCCTAGATTAAATAAAAACGTTTACTTGGTAAAAATGTTAAGAGAAACCCAACATATTTTATACTCCTGATGGAACGGAATAACCAACCCAAGAGATAAAATGTTAGAGCACCAAATCTCCAATAACATTTGCAAATGACCATGCTTAGCTTTTGAAGACAACACCAGGCACCCTCCCCTCCCTGACACACACTGTCACTAGTGAACGTGCAGGACACCTTCCAGGCTAGCCTCTTGGCAGTGGGCAGGTAAGGCAGAGAAGCCGAGTCCCCAGGCCAAATGTGTGACCGTTTCCCCTAGACCTCAGTTATGGTCTTTTTATTTATTTTACTTATTTTAAAAAATATATATGTTATTGATTTTTTTACAGAGAGGAAGGGGGAAGGATAGAGAGTTAGAAACATCGATCAGCTGCCTCCTGCACACTCCCCAACTGGGGTGTCCCCTCAACCAATGTACATGCCCCTGACCGGAATCGAACCTGGGACCCTTGAGTCTGCAGGCCGACACTCTATCCACTGAGCCAAACCGGTTGGGGCAATTATGGTCTTTTTAAATGCCTTTTCTAAAGTATTTTAGAATTGCCCCTTGTAAAGTCAGTCTTAGGTGGTCAAGGAGGGCCTAGCTGACGTTAGAGAAAAATAAGGAATCCAGATAGAAAATCTGTACACCTAAGGGCTCTGAGAATATCCGAGAACCTGTAACTAAGTACCACTTAGCAGCCCTGAGGAGACAGGATGGAAGAGACCAGCCAACCATGGAAGCTGAGAGCTCTCTCTTCAAATTTTCCAGTGATCATTATGCAAGAAAGCGAGCATTTCCCAAATCAAAGCTATTTGCCATTCATTGTATAAAATTCCACATGTCCACTTGTGATTGAAGTTCAGGCCTCCACAATGCAACGTAGGAAGTCCAAAGTCAATATTGCCTCACCGAAGCAAGTGCTTTCCCCAGAGCATCTCCAGTCTGGGAGCTGCCTGCTGCTCCACTTCCTCTGTTTGCTGCAAAAACAAAAGGCAGAATATGAAAAACCAGACAGTTTTTCTACTCCTGGTCCATTTACTTACAATTTAATTGCATTTTTAATGCTAATTATGACACATTAATTTTTAATTAGCATTAATTTGTTTGCTGAGGTAGATGTCAAATATATTCATGTTACATTTTCTACAGATAAAATATAAACCTGATACCTTGGTCTAAAGATATAGCCTTTTAGTTGCTATAACTTTCAGGCTTGTTGCCTAGGAGTGTGCAGTGATGAATGCTAGTTTATTGCTAAGAAATAGACAGTACTTTCAGGTGTCATAAGTCCTCAAAGTTTGGCTTGTCTTTATATTTCAGATAGTCAACTGAATTCTCCTTAGGCATAATTTACATCTCCTTTGAAATAAAAAGAGGGACTCCTCTCAAAGTTCCACAGTAAACAAAATCAAACTAACAAACAAAAAGTCTGTAACAGGCCTAGGAGAAAAATATTTTTAGTATCTGAAATAACATGTATCCTGCACAGATTTAAGTGAAATTTAAAAAAAACTTGAACTGTTGTGTACTAGAAGTCAACATGCCCTCAGATTCTGGAGATAAAATCAGTCTACATAATCATGAAGCTATCGCTCCATCTTAAACACTGGTATTTTTATCTACAAAATAGATGAACAAAGAGTGCTATTAATAAAAAGACAGAGGTGCTTGTGCATAATTCAAAGCCAGCTCTATTCAGCAAGTGACTTTGAAGGCAATTTGCCTTTATACAAAGGGATAGTCAGTGCTCCTCGGAGGTCTTCAGTCTCAGCACAACGCCCACGTGTGCTATGCTACAGCCACCGGGGCCTTGACTTCAGCAAGCTGATGTAGTATTTAAATAAAACATATTAAGCTCCAGCGGAAGATATTTTTTCAATACTTGGTGAAATAAGAGAAGAAAACTGATTAATCCAAGCAAAACTTCATTTCACAAATAACAATTTTCTCATTTTATTATTATTATTATTTTTTAATTTGCAGCCCTATCCTTGACCCAAGAAAGCAGCTTTTTGGCAATGTGTCTCCATGTCCAGTCTGTGAAGTGGAGCCGAGCTCAGACCCCAGGGGTCAGTTTCTCCCCTTCTCCAGGTTACAAGGCCACACTCTTGACCTCTGATTAGCACAGTTGAATTCTGCTGGCTATTTTTACATATTCACATGTTGTGTATGATCAGTTAGTGGTCTTCTGATGTGTGTTTTATTTGATTAACAAAACCCACCCCCATATTCATGTGCTATTACTCAACTTGAAAGAACACTCATAGATGGTAAAACGAACACAATCACCTTTGGACAAGACATTCATTTTCGTTCCACAGACTCAAATGGAAACTGTATCATTAAAAAGTAGCTGACCTTGTCCTAGAAAAAGTGAAGCTGTAATCTGTAATTTCCAAAGGTAATTAAAAGGCTCGTCTCTGATTGGCTATTAGGGCTAAGGATTTTAAGTGGAAGCAATCTTTGAAATGGGGGTCTGACATCATGCTGAGTCAGTGGAAGGAACTCATAGATATCAAGAGTATTAAAAATACTTAGTATAAGAGATAAATTAAATTTTATCTGGCGTGAAAATTAAAATTGTTGTATTAAGGAGTTTTGTTTTTTTAAATAAAGACAATTCTAAATAGAAAACAATAAGTATTTTGGAAACATGGAGAGAAGCAATATTTTCCAGCTGGTTTATATATTATTATATATAATTATATATATGATTTCTAGAAATTCATATATATAATTTTTACATTATCATATATACCTAAAATTAGATTTAGTAGTCAAAATAATTTGTGATATCTGCTTAATTACAAAACAGATATGTAAGTGCAAAGCCACAATGGAAAAATTACACTATCTAAAAAAGAACTGAAACCCAAGTAGTACAAGATACTGTTTCAATTACAGATAACATTTGCTACCATTGTGGCTTTCAAAAGATTAATTCTCCCTTTGAACAACTTCAAAATTAAGATAATAAGTGTTTAAAAATAATTTTTCAGGAAGCCAAACAGAACTGAAAATCAACAGAAATACTTTAGGAACATTAAAAAAAAAGTTAATTACATGTAACACACACAAAAAATCACACTTTACAAGAAATAATATATAATTACTATGATCACATTCATACTAAACTTTGTATTAAGTGCCTGTTAAACAGAGGGAGATGTTAGGACCTAGGAGGTAGAATAAAAAAATAGGATCAACTCCTTACCTCACATTATCATAAAAAATGATTCCGAAAACTAACAGGCTACTCATGGAGGCCGCTGATAAGAATAGACTATTTTTAATATGCAGCCATTCCACCTTGCTGGAGTGAGGAATCCAGGGCTTAAATTTCAAAGCTGTTTACTGGGCCAGTTTGCCCCCTCGTTTGGAATGCCTTTTGTTCTGTTCCAGGAAACATTGGGGAAGACGCATTTTCTAGAGTCCATGAGCATGTGAGGCGACATGGGTCCTTCTGCTATAGAGTTCTCTTTTTATTTGTGTGACTGATATGTCAAAGGGCACAAATAATCAGAAAGTGAATACAGCATTAATTCTCAAAGTTATAATTTATTTTTATATTAAGTAATGAGTCATATTTAGCCACACTCACTTCTAATGAACTTGGTGCTTATCAAATTCACCTTTTGGCTTGGAGGTAACAGGACTTGATGACTATTCTAACCCCAAGTTTTTGTCAACTCGTATTATGAGCAATTACCCAAGGGCCCATGTGACAGATAAAGATGAAAACGATTGCCCTTATTTGGGAAAGACTGGGTTGATTTCTTCAGATATTTTAGCTCTATTCAACTTTTCTTGCTCAAGAGAAAAAAAGAATCTGTCTTGGAGCAGGGCTGCAAGATAAACCTGAGTGGAAGATGAGCTGTGATTAAGAGGAACTGTAATTCTGTAGGAGGATTCGGCACTGCCAGCCACCTGAGCACTGCTCAGCTGGCTTGCGCGCAGGTGCTGTTGCTGGCTAGCCATGGAGCAGAGAAAGGGGTTCCGCTACGTGGACCACCCTAGGACTCAATCTCCGCTTTGGGGAAATGGCAATTCCCATTAGGACACACCCTCATCCAAACACCAGGAAGGAGTGGTGCCTGGGGACTGACTACTGAAAACCAGAATTGCGGAAATGTTACCCCTTTAATACACACCCATAACCTCAGGCTGGGAACATCATGGAGATATAAAAGGAATGATAAGTGCACTTCATAGTGTGTTTGCCTGAAAGAAGATGACTGCTTTAAAATTTAGTTTTTTTTCTGAACTATGTGCAAGTGAGCCTCACCTTATTAAACGATTAAAAAAAAGCATCCTAACAATGGCCTGAGTGTGACTATAAAGATGACACAAGAAGGAGCATCTCCAGCACAGCTACAGAATCTAATTTTATAATGAAACCTCAAATTTGGGCTATAATGCGCTAATTTTTAGCACGAGGGATTTCTAGAAATTCAGGGGGAAAGCTGGTTCCCAGGACAAGTGCAGGAAATGGACAAGAAGACTTCAATCAAACCAGTTTATTGTTTTCCATTAGTGGTCTTTGTAACTACGGAGCCAGGACATTGCTGGGTGAAGTTCATGAACTCTTATGCTCTGTGCCTGTCCCTCACCCAATTCTATTTGAAGGCTCAGGATCCTTGTAAAAGACAAAGTGAATCTATGTGACTACTCTAATATAAAATAACTGTGAAGCCAAGTCCCCAAGGGGAAATTGACATGTTTCTGCTAGAAAAGCCACATACTCAAGTGCTTCATGTCACACAAACATGCCACTAGAAGTGAAAGTGGTAAGTAAGCCAGATTAATTCATGAACCGGATATATTCCAGGGTGGTCTTTAGCACATGTTGTATTAAATCCATCTTGGTAGTCTGTTCCTTCAACATTGTTTGGTTTGAGGTTAAAAACATGGGAAATGCCTTGTATGAGCAAGCAGGCCAGTTAAAGACCAATAAAGCAATAAGAGTTACTGTAAGCATTGTACGGGTTGGATGGCCAATTCCCTCTGAGGGTAAGGGAGGGTGTAGAGCCCAAACAACAAGCAGTCACGCCCTGGGAGCGGAAAGAAACGGTACCTCCCAATGGGAACTGCAACTCTCTCCTTCCCGGGAAGAGTCAGCTGTGTGAGAGGTAGAGTGGCCTCAATGCTTTTGAGCAGGAAGGGCTATTGGATATTGCAGTTAGGAAGGAAACACACATATAACAAAAGGTATATGGCTGCTCACCTCTCCCATTTCTATCCTCTAAGCTGGCATTTAATAACTTACTATACTTCCTCCTCTGAGATACACTCAGCAGGATAATATTGAAAGGGTTTAGGGCCGAAACCGGTTTGGCTCAGCGGTAGAGCGTTGGTTTGCCGACTGGAAGGTCCCAGGTTAGATTCTGGTCAAGGGCATGTACGTTGGTTGCAGGCACATCCCTGGTAGGGGGTGTGCAAGAGGCAGCTGGTCGATGTTTCTCTCTCATCGACGTTTCTAGCTCTCTATCTCTCTCCCTCTCTGTAAAAAATCAATAAAATATATATTTAAAAAAAAAAAGAAAGGGTTTAGGGATAATGTTTGAAGGGATTGGGATTGGTAACTCCCTTAGCCCTCAGCTACAGCTTCTCTCCTTACCTGGGTGCTCCATTAGTTAACTAACTTCTTTTTTTAAATTTAAAAAAAAATCTATTTTATTGATTTTGTACAGAGAGGAAAGGAGAGAGAGAGTTAGAAACATCGATGAGAGAGAGTCATCACCAATCAGCTGCCTCTTGCACACCCCCTACTGGGGGTATGCCAGCAACCAAGGTACATGCCCTTGATTGGAATCGAACCCGGGACCTTTCAGTCCCCAAGCCAACGCTCTATCCATTGAGCCAAACCAGTTTCGGCTAGTTAACTAACTTCTATCAGCCCGCGCTGTGTCCCTGTATTATACGCATACACTTCCAGATCCCTCTAACTCAGAAAGGTCTGGTATAATCTCCTGAGTGTGCTGGCAGGGCATCAGAGGAAAATGTGAATTCTGTGTAACAAGTGAAATGCTTTCTAATTCTTTCAAAAATCCATGAATGAATGTGTCACTTACAAAAAAAAATTCCACCATTAATATAATCTAAGTAAGATGTATACTTAAGGGTTTCTAAAAAAAAAAAAAAAAAAAAAAAACACCAGGAATTAAAAGGGAAAAAACAAACAAAACCCCCAAGAAGCAATGGTCATTTCTTCAAACCAAACACAGGCCATCTGAGACCCCAGTGAGCATGTTCCATCTGCGAAATGCAGAGAACAGAACTTGCAATAGTTCTAGAGCTTTCTTCTCATGCCACATGTGCTCTGTTGTCCTATGACCAGTTCAGGACAACTGTTGACTACCAGGAAGATGAAACTGAGAAATGGGCTAATAATCCTTTGAACTGAAAAAAAAAAAAAAATAAATAAAAAAACACACACAAACAAAAAATAGCTTCCTAAGACGTCAATGTTGTTTATTAAAAGATTGCACTGCCTTGCAACTTTACAGGAAGAAAACTTGAAAAATCTGATGTCCATGTGTTAGCGCTTGAACCCCATTCTTACGGCATTAGTATTGCTTACAGCTATTTTCTACAGAATCATGTGTGTAATCTTAAACATGTGTCAAGCTATGTGTTCCCTATTTACCAATTATTTAATTAGCTCTGTTTGTTCTTTGTGATACAGGCAATGTAATATTTCTTTATTTCCTGCATTTCAGAATGAGTGAGTATATGCCAAGTATTTTCAAAAGTCTACAGATGTGTCCTATTAGCCCATACTGTTTGTTAGGGAAGCATTAGTAACTGAAGAGAAATCTTCTCTTGTTAGACAGACATGCTGCCGTCCCTGACTTCTACCACCCTCTGAAAATCAAGCCAAAACCTAAGAGAATTAAAGTGTGAAGACACTTGAGTCACGCAGACACGGTGCAACCAGGAAGCCTATTATCATAAGCAAATTTCCCTCTGCATTTTAACTGGAGGAGTTGGAAGACATGTTTTAAGGGAGAACATGAGTCTTCTCTCTGACAGTAACCCGGAATTCATAACTGCATTTATGCAGGCTCTTCCAAAATGCCGAATTACCATGTCTACTTATTTCCTGAAAAGATTATGAAGCTTTCTCACATTCTACCAGCAGATTTTGACAAGTACACCCATGGTTATGGATTAATTTATGTAATAATGTTTTGTCTAAAAAAATTCCTTTTCTAGGTTCCAAAAGTCTCATACTTTTTTCCCTTTTAAAATTACAGCTTCCTAATTAGTACCTCCCTCCCTCCACTTAAATAAGTTAAGTCCATCTTTTGCCTAGAGCTCCACACTGCCCAGGCCCAATGAAGGAGAGGAGACATTCTTATTCTTCTTTAAGCTAATGATGGTTTACTAAGGCACATCCCATTCCCACCGAGATGCATGGCTTTGCTAACCACAGCCCAGGGACGAAGATTACACTCTCGCAATATCTTCAATATCTTTCTTCCCAAGTCTAGTGCCTGTCTCCCAGGAAGACTGTTCTACAAATTAATTAACAAAACTTTTTTTTTTTTTTCAAACAGTGCCTAAGTATGCTTTCCTCAACTCAAGCGCTTGCTCCACCTTTATACCTTCCTAAAAAAGAAAATTACTCAAACCACAAGCAGACAGGAAATCTGCCATGTAAGAGGATGAATGACCGGTCAGCCTGCTTTATAACTAGACCTCATGACTACAAAAAGGGGCTTTCCATGTGCCAAACCACACTGAAGTGAAATATGCTTCTCTCACTCTTTCAGTTCTGCACTTCTTTCTTCTTGTTTTTCAAATCTTCCAAAATTGCATTGATGGCTACAAAATGTCCTCATCTGACCGCAGTCCAGAGCCCCCCAAAATCAACTCATGCAACACATTTGTAGAAACTTTGAAAAGTTACAAAAATGGAAATCTCTATTTGCTTCTCAATGAGATGTGATAGTGAAGGGCTGCTAGATGGCTCATCTCAAGTGAGAAATATAATAATACAATCTCAAGTGAGAAATATATTATTGAATAAACAGAGATTGTATTATTTAGGCAGGATTACATTTGCAACACTTCAAAATATATCTCTTTTTTATAAAAACAAAACGATCAAACAAAAAAACCAACCTCCCACATAAGTGATTCATCATCATTCCCAAAGTTCTACAGACTAAGGGAAATGAAAAAAAACTACAAATAGCTAAGAGTAGCCACAGGATTATTGTTACACAGTCTCCTCTCTAAAATACCCAGTGAGTATTCTCATCGGTGACTCCCTGGAAGTAACAGCCCCAGCAGGGGATGGGTGTGAGCTAGAACCAGCACAGTGGCAATCAGTGAAGCCTGAGATTGAACAGGACCCTGGAACATCAGGCTGTACTGCTGGGTGACAGAGACAGTTGACAAAGGCCAATTCCGAAGGGAGTGCTTCCCTCCTCTCCAACCTGAACTCTTTCTTCCCTGGGCAGCTAGACATCCCGCCAGCTCTTCCCTCCCTCGAGATGAGAGTGTGATGGAGAGCCATTGGTCCTTGGAAAAAGACCACAATGGACTGCATGGAAAGTGAGAGGAGGAGGATGGCTCAGCTAATTTGGCAGCAACTTTCTGCCTTAACTTATTTTTCTCTTAACTTGAGAAAAAGTAGCAGGTAACCTTTGTCCCACAGATGCCCAGCCGTCTCCTGTTCTATGAGTGAGTGACACTTCTTCCCTCTGAAGGACATCACCATGCAGCATTCTTCTGAAATGTGGAGCTCATATCTAGTTATTACAAGTTGCATGTTAGCTTTACATGAACCCATCTGCAGAAGACCGTGGTGTGTCATGGCTAAGAGCAAAACAACATGACTGAATCTGGGAAGTGGTAACTACTATTAAGAGACATCATGTTCTCTATCTCATTAGTCTTCAATGGTTTGTCTTATAAAAGCTCACTTTGCTGGCTGTTTGGGAATATGGGAAGCAAGGTGGTTTGGTGTATTTAAATCCTGTTAAATCTAATTAGAATAGGCAAAGTAACCAAATTTTAATTTCTTGTGGAAAAAAATGTGATGATGGTCAAGTCAATGACTATTTTTGTTTGGTTCATTTGTTTGTTCGGTTATGTGACAAACATTCAACCCCTGACTGCTGTTCAATTATAGGAGATCTTTCATTATAATCCTGACATTGAATGTTGGTACCAGAACTGGCATTTCCCAAACTCACCCATTATACTGTCTGTCCCGTTGGCAGGAGGCGTACAGGAAGAGGTGCTGTAATGGTTGGTACCACTACGATGGAAAGTGGACATTGGAGGAAGACTGGAATTGATGTCTGCTGAGGAGTGTGATGGGTAGCTCTGTAGCAAGAAGCAGAAAAAGGAGGCCATTTTCAACCATAAAATATTTAGTGGGTTAGTTTTATAACACTTCCTTCTGCAATGGAGAAAGCCCTTAAAATTCCAAAATGTTGAAGAATACATCTTGCTTAGATCTGTCAACTTTCATTTTTTTCAAATATTAAAACACAAAGACACACAGTTTGGATTTGCATCAAATCTAGGGGGATATGATGGCAATGTAGGATACTGAAAAGTGATTACAATCTCTAAATCTAAAAATTACTGCTTAAAAGCATATCTGTAGCCTGGCTGGTGTGGCTCAGTGATTGAGCCTCAACCTATGAATCAAGAGGTCATAGTTCAATTACTAGGTTGTGGGCTCCATCCCCAGTAGGGGGGGTGTGCAGGAGGCAGCCAATAGATGATTCTCTCATCATTGACATTTCTAGCTCTCTGTTCCCTTCTTTCCCTCTCCCAGAAATAAAAAACAACAACATTTTTTTAAAAGCATCTCTGTGACTTTAACAGCATAAAAAAGTTCTTTGTGCGACCTCTTCGTCAAGTAAGAAAGATTCTATGATAAAAACAACATAGTGACCTACAGGGTTTACATTACACTTCATCCTGACCTTCTGAACACTAAATGGCAAAGAATAACCAGTCTCAGGTCTTTTCCTGCCAAAACTGATCACCTTTCTGATAAATGGATAAATGGTAAATAAAAAATTTTAAAGTGCTAATGATTAGATATCTCTCCAAAACATCAATATATAAAGCCTTAACTCAATGACTGTACTGCATTAAATGAGAACAAGTGAACTGAGAATAACTATTTGACTTCTTACTTTATATACATCCACTCCATTAGTAATCTTCATATGTTGACTGTGAAAGATCACCTTTACAGAATCATTTGGTTTAAGGTTTGGCTTTGGGTTACATTATTATACCAGTTGTTCAAATAAGCTGCTTTTCTTGGGGCATATCACAGTCCCTGGGAGGCTGGCAAATTAGGTGCTACCCAGCTATCCTAATAATATTTACAGAAAAGTATCAGGCTATGTTCCTGCTCAAGATAGTAAGTACCTTTAAAAGGTGCTCTCTCAGGCATCTGATGGGTTATAAACATGTAAAGGAAAACATTTAAGGTAAAATAGACATTTTCCTTATATGTGATGTATTAATGGGCTATGCGTCTTTATTATGCGATTAATGTTCTATATAAAATTGAGATTTGGAGATGATGCTCAAAGTCAGAGGCGCTCCAAGCCCAGGCCATTTGTTCACAAGGAGTGAAACCCTGGTGTCTTGGTATTTTCTTCTATTTGGAGAGGCCCATTTTAGATCTACCTCCTCCTCGATGATTCCTCACTGCTTCCAACTCTTCCAAGATTTCTCTGCTCTGAATCCCTAATGAACTGACATCTTCACTGAGCCATTTAATAATTCTATGCTGCCTTTCATTGTGATCTCTCTCACATGCATTTCTATCTATACTATAAACTCTTTAAAGAGAAAGAATACAGTTTATACCTCTGCATCCCACAGCATGCTACTGAGTGCTGAACACATAATTACCCTATATACCCAATGAACGACTGGCTACTACTGGATTGAAATGCTAGTTATCTGAGAGGTAACTATAATAAAAAGTCTGAAAAATGAAACTTTGTTTCAGAACCAAGTCTGCCACATCCATGCTTTTGAAAATATTACTTTTGCACACTCAAATAGTCCAAAGGAAAGGTCAACTTCAGTGTAAAAGTTGACATACTGCCCTTAAACTTTTCCAAGCTCCCAAGAATACCTTTCAAACTTTTAAGTTACATGAACCTCTTTGCATGACTAAAAATTTCCTTATGCTACCTGTTAAACTCATTTCTATTATACTTGCTGCTCACAGAATACCCCAAGGAATTCCTTGAAATTTCTTCCAAAGAATAGTAGAGTGGGGCCATTCCATAGTAGAGCTAATCTGAAACTCTGAATAAGCCACAAACACCAAACTCAGAAGAGCTATTTCTGCTCAGGAGCTAAATACTATCATAAAGTGGAGAAAGAGAGAAAAAATGAGGAAAAGAAAATGAAAGAAAAAGAGGAGGCTTCAGTTCTGCTCCATGCAGTTTCTAAAGAATAGAGAAACTATAAATCAGTCCCAACTATGCAAAAATCAAAACAGAGGCAAATATTAATAATTACAGAATGACACAGGAAACAGATTATTGTATCAGTGAGATTTTTTTTTACACCCCTTATATATGGGCAGTAATTTAGAATTTAACAAAAGGTTCATACTGACTTCTGAAACTAAAAAGAAAAATTCTTTTCCATAGATTTTAATGGGAAAACCCATACAATGCACCCAAATCAGTTATTTTTAGAGATTCATAAAATATGAGATGCTGAAAGCAATCAATGAGATTTATAACTCGATTATTTTTCAAGAAAAAGTATCATGAAAACTACTGTTACTCAAAGTCCTAATAAATACCCCACAGAGAATATCAGTGATATGTGATTCATGTCTCTTATAGAGTAGTCAGGCATCAATTACAAGAAGCCTCTTAGTCTCTTTTAGTCCATCTATTAATACTGTCTGCTCTGCTTACTACAAAGCAAAAGGGGAAGTATGATAAAGTGCTATGGCCTTACATATATTTTTACCTTTAATGGCCAAAGTGAGTGTATTTAGAATCTACTGAGAGAATAAGTGGTGAAAATGTTTCCATTAGTGATGTATTTATGGGTTGATCACTCAAAGACTGATCTCACTTATATGTGGAATCTGTATGATGGACAAAACAAACCAGAGGCACATGGAACAGTCTGACAGAGGTTAGTCAAAACACACATATGAAGAGGTCAGTCAAAGAACACATATGCAGAGCCCAAGGACACAGATAACAGTGTGGTAATGGCCAGAGGAAGGGGGAAGGGAACTGGGTGAAGGTGAGTAAAAGCATGGTGAGTTGGGGACATCTGTAATTGTGAAAACAATAAAAAGTGAAGGAACTTTTTATTTTAGTAGCACATACTAAAATACAATTGGGGTTTAGAATAAGGCAGGGTTTCACAACCTTGGCACTACTGATTGTACCAGGTAATTCTTTTTTTATTTATTTATTTTATTTTATTGATTTTTTACAGAGAGGAAGGGAGAGAGATAGAGAGCTAGAAACGTCGATGAGAGAGAAACATCGACCACCTGCCTCTTGCACACCCCCCACAAGGGATGTGCCTGCAACCAATGTACATACCCATGACCGGAATCAAACCTGGGACCCCTCAGTCAGCAGACCGACGTTCTATCCACTGAGCCAAACCGGTTTCGGCAGTACCAGGTGATTCTTTACTGTGGGAAGATGCCCTGTGCATGGTAGCATTTTTACCAGCATCCTTGCTATACACTAGATTCCAGTTGCAACTGCTCTCCCCCCCAACACACATTTCCAAATGTTTCCTGAGAAGCAAAAACCACACCTGATTGAGAATCACTAGGGGAAGGGATTAGGTTACAAAAAATAAGGACAACAGAACTTCCTTTATATGAACATTCCTGACTCCTAGGATTTTGGTACTCTGTAGTGCAAAGATCAGGCCTCAACCATGCCAGACGGCAAGGACTTCCTCCTATTTTTAGAATGAACTCTGTCAAGTCATTCCAAACTTAAACCTTGACAAGAACCATTCCAAAGCTCAACCACAAACTCCATTCTTCTGAGTGACTCCGTGCGCACACTTAGGGCACAGTAGTGATTAGCCTATGGGATTGTGCTGCAGAGGCTGAAACTGCAGAATCTGAAGAACCAAAATTAGGTACCTGACAGTGCTACTAAAATGTGAGGATTTAAGCTTTATAATTGCATTCTCTTATAACATGGTATAAAGTGAAGATGACAGTAGTGTGTCTAAAATGTTTTACCGTTAGAGACTATACAGATTTGGCTATATTATACCCAAAATACCATCAGGAAAGCTCTCTTCTCTTCCTCAAATGATTTCTTTGTTCCTTATGGCACTGGCCCAAAGCTTCAGGTGAACATTGTAAGGAACTGCCATTATTTTCAAGTGAAAAAACACCAACTGCCTACTATATAGTCCAATTATTCTCAGCCAGGGTCAGATTTTTTTTAATGTCACTTCAAAATATTTCCGAATGGCTATTGAAATGGCAATGATCACTCGATATAACAATTCAACAGTTTCCAGTGAGAAACTACCAATGAGAAAATTCATTAGGATACACTGCCAGAGACATAATTCATTCAGCCTTTTTAAAAACAAAACAAAACACAAAACCCCTAATCTCTAAAATCTGCTACGTGATCATGTTAAGAATAAAAACCCTGTGTTTGTGATGGATAAGTGACATTACAAATACAGCATCTGATGCAACTTACTGGGTTACTCCCTCCAAATGATCTTCTTTCCTTTCATTATGCAAAACTTTTTCGAAGTGTAGTTTCCTTTACAAAGCTACATTTTTGTGTGCATTTGAGCATATTTTAAAAGATACCTCCCCCATGCAGTGAATTTGGGATGAAATGAAACTACCTAAATCAACATTCTAGATCATGAATGACAGGGAAAGAAAAAAGAAACAAAGAAGGGAAGAAAAAATAAATGTCAGGTGGACAACTCTTAAAAGGACTGAAGTTTCAACGTATTAGAATACTGCCAAGATCATTTACGTGTAATCAAAACTTTCCTTGTTCATAGGGCACATGTAGATTTGATCATGAGTTCCTTAGAGAAGTGGAAAATGATAATGGATAAATAAAAATGTTAGCCAAGAAGAAATTCTAGTATAATAGTAGTTGATATTTCTCTAAGCTTTCACTCTAATACCTCTAAGCAGGAGGCAGGAGAAGAGAAAATCTGAAAGCAAATCATCTGCTATTGAGTAAAAATGTGCTGAACTTAGATAGTTTGTGAATTACACAATCACACTTAGGAGGTAATTTAAAAGGCCAATTCTACCTTCATCTGTCTCTCATTAACGGATAGGTTAATGGACCTCATAGTATCTCTGTCACTAGGACTAAATAAATAGGCATATTCAAGTATTTCAGAAATCCCAACTCCTGGGATATTTTAGGTTGTTAGAATAGGATATGTCACTTTCTCCATACCTCTAGTGGCTGAGCAAAAGAAAGACCACAGAATTCTAGGAAGTACTATATCCTACATGAGGACAGAGAAAGAAACATAACTCTGGGTATTAGAAAAAGGGGAAATTCCAAGATGAAGAGAAATAATATAAAGTCTACTAACACTAAGTGGACTGGTAATAACCTTGTAGGAATGGATGTCCATACATTTCCAAAACTAGGTTATTGCACAAGGGACTCACTTTCTTATCTGCATTGCAAACCTAACTCATGGTTTAGAAGTACTCTTTCCTCCATTTAATGATAGACTTACATTCACAAGTGGATTCTTGGCTGTGGTTTCTTTGAGGCTAGAAAAACATCAGGTTGAGTTGCTTCTTCCAGGATAAAAAGTAATTAATATTTAGGATGGATGAGTGTAGGTGATGGAAACTTTAGTAATAAAAGAAAAGAGAGTAACATTCTACAGCAGTTTTCAACTGGCATGAGGCAAAACAGAATATCAGTAGAAGATTGGGGCTGTGGAATTAAAACTAAAAATAGAAAATTTGGAATCTGCTCTATACAGAAATCCCCTGGTTGCTGTTACTGATGGGAGGGTGAAGAAAAATGAACTCTTTCTCCCAATGTGGCATAACAGATCACAGCGGTGAGCAGTGAGAGAAGCTGGTCAAGGGGAAGTGGAAATGCCCATGAATATCACTACCATCACAGTCTACTGACTGTCACTCTGCCCCCTGCAGTATATCCTTCAAAACTACAAATAGAAAAAAAAAAAAAAAAAAAAAAAAAGGAACAGCCATAGCTGGATTCTGCAACTGAAATACAGTGTGCACTTATGTAACAAAGGAAGTTGACAGTGTGATAAAGAAAGCACAGAACAAAGCACAATAAACAGAAGAACAATGACAAGGAATCCAAAAGTACTTACAAAGGTGATCTGATTCAGTCCCCCCTTTGATTATAGGAACAATACAAACTGTAAGCATAAAGGGTGTGTACAATGTTGCATTCATTTGGAGAGTCCTTGTGTACACGCATGGAAAGGCAAGGACTGGATTTAATAAACCAGCTGTCTTATCCCACTGCCATGAGAATCTGCCTTACCAAACGTTCGTGTGGATGCAGGCTACAGTAGCTGCTAGACTGTGGAATATGAGAAGAATTGCCCAGCATCCCTCCGTAGCCAGGCTGATTCATCCCACTGGAGGAGCTCCAAGGGTCACTGCTGTGATGGCCATCTGTAAAGGACAAAGGAAACCGTGACTTCTCTGAGGCATTCAGCCTTGCTTAACAGAATAGAGGTTTTTCATATACTTGAAAATGGCTGCCTCTTGTGCATTCATCTTTGTGTCAGTTAGCTGGTTACATCAAAAAAAAAAATCATCCTTATTTCCCCCCAAATGACTCTATATTGCTAAAACAAACATAAATATTTAACATAGTAAAGTGTTCTTAGTAAAAAGCCAACTGCAAAAGAAAAACATTTCTACAGAGAATGATGTTAAGACAGCAGGGTACCTAATGCTGAAGGCAACTTTTCTGAAAGCTATTCTGATGCCCCTTTCTATGAAAACTAACCAAAAAGTTAAACTGTTCCTAAATGCTGGGGTAAAAATAAAATACGTGAGACATTACACAGTTGGCATGTCTACAAGTTTAAAAAGTACATAAAGAAACAAGTCATAATGAAAAAGAACATCTCGCATTTAAGGCTGAATCTCATTTTTGTAACAGATACAGTAGATAGAATTAAAGTTGCAATTACATTATGACATATAGGAAAGAGGAGTCTTGAATATATCATTCTGAGTTTTTATTTCCTTTGAAAATATTTTTTGATATATAGATAAATGGTTATCTCAAGACTTCAGTAGCAATTCAAAGAGTACACACATATTATAAGATGGATACTGTGCTACAGTCAATTTTGGGAGTCTGAATGTTACACAACTATCTAATGTTTAAAAGAGATTTAAGATAATATGAAAACTATATAAAGTATCTTTTTATATCAAGTTAATTTATTTTGAATATCATATTAAAAACATTCCTATAGATTCTCTGGGTCTATTGGCCTAGAGGTCACTATGGGAGATTGGTTTTGTTTGCTTTAGGTTTCTCAAATTAGGGGGGAAGAACCCATGTTACTGCTGGTTCTTTCAAGTTTTCCTTGTGTCATGTTTGACAAAAATCACTGACTGCCAGATATATACCATGCCACCAGCTAGGTGTTAACTATATGGCAGGTATTGCTTTGTGAAAATAGGATTATTCACACCAGCCTTTGAAAATTTAGGCAATAGGCAAGATAAATCTAACACTGTATCTCATGAGGCTTCTTTTTTTCTCTGAGATTTTAAACTTAGAAGTCAGAATTCAGAAAACTGGAATAGTTTCAGGACAGAAAGGAATAATCTATAGATTTCTTAAGAACTATGCAAGCAAAATCATGTCTGTGATCTTGATAATTTAGGACTTGTAACTAGAAGATGGAAATTAAAGTTAAAAATAAGAGGCTGCACAGTAGTAGGTTTAAAATATGCCTCTGACAGTCTCTGAATATCTTTCCCCTCAACAGCATGTTTCTCCAAGGCCTGATTCCCAGGGACCGGGCACCCCTCACTGAAGGAGACCGATGTGTAATGGGGCCACGATGCACTGTGTCTGGGATGGTAATGTGAAAACCCAAGACTTTCAGAAAGTTACTCTTCATCTACTTTAGATTTAGCCCTCAGATTGAGGGAGTTTAGATGTCACACATGAAGTTCAGGACCACTGACTTTTCAAGTAGATGGCATATATGACAAATACCGTATTTTTCGGACCATAAGACGCACTTTTTCCCCCCCAGAAGTGGGGGGAAAAAGCCCCTGCGTCTTATGGTCCAAATATAGCCTACACATATACTTTTAAAAAAAAGTTTTTTTTACTTGCCCGGCTCTGTGTGGTCTCTGTGTGCTTGCTCGGCTCTAAAATGGTTCTAAATGCTGCTGTTTACTTTACAGGGTTGATTACATGTATTTATGACTGTGATGTTGGGTTTTAATGCACATAAAATATTTTAGGACACTATTTGTTTCAGAATCTTTTTTTCTTCATTTCCCTTCTCTAAAAACTGGTGCGTCTTATGGTCCGGAGTGTCTTATGGTCCAAAAAATACGGTAAATTGAAAATATATATCATTACAAAGGACGCTTTTGAAACATTTTGACAACATGAAGGCACTCTATGGAAATACATTTAGGATTTGTTAACACAGAACACTCAACCCAATGTAGCTTATAAAAATATGTATTTTACATAAATTATGCTTTTCACAGTAAATTAATATTTATCACATCCCATGATCTTGGCATAATGTTGTTTTGAAAGAATAGAATTAGACATGTGCAAATTAATTGTGCTCATCATAAATGTCAACTCAAAAAAATATTTCTGGTGTTGTGGGTATTCAAATGCAGAAAAGAAAATTGCTCCCCATACTCTGCATGGTCTACAGGAACCATGCAGAGTATGGGGAGTTAACAGAATAGACGTTTTTCATATACTTGAAAATGGCTGCCTCTTGTGCATTCATCTTTTTTTTAACTACCCCATCTCCTCTGCTGTGTGCAGCTTAAGCAAGCCACCTTTGTGAAGGCCGGCAGAAGCAACCTATCCTTCTGTCAATGTTCTCCATGAAAATCTGCTTTGAGCGATGAATCCTTGAGATGACAATCTTTGTAAGCACCAATAGCAGGACTAACCACAAAAGAAGGGGCTGATTCCCAATTGGATGCATGGCTGCTTTTTATAGCGGAAGGGGAGGGGCCTTTTGTAAGGGCACAGAACATACCCAAGTGACACGCCCCGGGGTGTTCCTGTGAGAGTTACACCTAGGACAGGTCACAAAGATAAAGGATACCGGTGAACATGAGCTCCATGATGCATGGAACAAATTCTCTCTATTCCTGGGGGACCCATCCAATTCAATTTTATAGATTTTCCGTGGAATTTTACAAGTGAGCTAATCACCTAAAAGAGCTAACACTCTGAAGGGAAAGAAAATAAATCCATTTTAATCAGAACGATGTTGAGTGTGTCCACTGTAATCGAAGTGAGACACAGGCCGCTCCCCTGGTACCTGCTGCCCAAAGGAGGCTCCCCTGGTGGCGACATGGCCCTTCCTAGAGCAGCCCAGCGAGGGACACCTCGTGGCGCCTGCCAAAGACACACCAACAAGGCTTTCCCGGCCCGGCAGGAAGAGTCCAAGTTCTATGCACAGAGGATCTCGGTCAATCCCAAACCTGAATTTCAGATATTAACTTGGTAATATGATCACTGCAACGTGGCAGTAAGTGTCACAGACATATCAGGAATGGAGCTTAGCTGCATCCTCCAAACCCTATTCTTACAGCAGCTGCTGTCATTTCAACCATCTTCGTCTTTTTTTCCAAGCAGTAGACAGGGGCTGTGCTATCAATGGCAAGACTCTAAGCTCAGAGCCCACACATCCATGGTAATTTAGTCAAAGAGGCTGGCCAGTTAGAAAAAGAAATATATTTTAGCAACCACAAAGCTGTAATATTCTGCATTTGCCGGGGAAGAAAACTGGGTGGGTTTTGCCCTATATCAGTTAGCGTGCTGAATAAAGCTTTGGCCGTGATAAAAATAATATTCCAGTTTTCAAGTAGGTCACTTCATTGATCCAAAGGAGATGCTTGTTCTTACCTATGAAACAATATGTAGCTAAAATTTTCATATAAAGTTATTTATAATAACAAGTTGTCCCCAGGTGTGCTAAATCCAGATTGCTCAAAATATACACTGAATCCAAACACTTTAAAACGTACACACACACACACACACACACACACACACACACACGCACACACACACTCTCTTCTTGAGGGTGAAGATGTTGGAATGATTAGTCAAGGAAGACCATCCTCCAAGACATTGGTTCTTAGTAAAGTAAACCAGTCTAATCTTAACTCCTTTTTGCTCCAGGGGCTTTCATCTAAAAAACAGATCTTAGCAAAGTCTTAAGTAGTTTGTAATGAATGCATGACTGTCGGATTTCTATACTTGTCTACTAGTCCACTTCTTGGGTATCAGCTCAGCAGTCATCTGCACCGTCCAAGGTATGACAAGACCCAGGAAGACTTTCCACAGTGGGTTTCTGGTTAGGGGAAGAGACAGCTTACCTTGCATGAAGAAGGAGCTAGGGAAAGTGCTGGCTGCTGGTTTTGAGGAAGGGTAGCCTGGCGAGTCCCTATTGTAGTCGGCAGTGCTTGCTGATGGAGCATAAACCTGAGGAAGGAGAGAGAGGCAATTCAGTTTGGCTGGCTGCACTGACCAATGCATTCAAGGTCCATAGCTCTATAAGAAGCAGGCCCCCGGTGCTAAATTTCTGCCAGGTGCATTCTCAGTCTGATGAAGGCCAGACAGAAGACAAGGCTTTTGCCCCCAAATGCTCAGTACTATATTTGTGTGAATGGGAGACTGGGTGTGATATTTTTCAAGTCACAGGCAAAAATACATCAAGTTATAAATATGTTATCCAATACCAACATGATGATCCTGGGAGTTTAAATATCCTTTCTCTTTAAAAGCAGAGGTGGCCCAAGAGCACAGGAAAGGTAAAGACAGAAAGACATGCACCAAGCTTCTCCCGTTTTTAAAAAAAAATGTTTAACTTTTCAATTGCAGTTGACATTCAGTATTTTATTAGTTTCACGTGTACAGCACAGTGGTTAGACATTTATATAACTTATAAAGCTTCTCCCCAGTTATTCTACCTTTCAATGAAAATTTTCACTTTTGAGAAGAGAAAACAAATATACGATTCAAACTAAAGAAAGTGACAAATATATCTTTGAATATTCTTCCTATAATATTGTGCCCGCTTTCTGCAGAGATGCATGAACAAGGCCACTAAGAGCCAGGTCTACACAGACCAGCAACAATCCGTGTGCAAAGAAGGGGGGTAAGCCCTCCTTTGTAGTTCTTACTATATTTCTGTGTGCAGTTATCTTTAAAAGTGTGCCCGAATCCCAATTTGCTTACATTTGTTTACTAATACTCATGAGATCTGGGAAACTGGGCCTTTATAAAAATAACCTATGTATTTTTCTCTTTATGTTTTCCTTAAAGACAACAGCATACTGGAAAGGCATAAATTCATAAGGTACAGTTTAACTGTAATTGATTTTCCCCTTGCCTTTCTTTTTTTTTGGCTAAATATAATTTTTTAAATCCCCATCTTCTTTTTCTCCAGAAGTTCCTCTCTCCAGATGGTGGGAGACGGAGCCCTGTCGTCCTCCCGAGGAAACGGATACCTTCCTCCTCCATTTTGAAGCAGCAGCGCTCACAAAAATTGGCAGCGAGCCCATGTGAGACTCACAGGTCACAGTACAAGAAAGAGAAATTCACCAATAAAAAGGCAACGGCAGGGTTACCAGAAAAATAAAATAAGCACTCCCCCTTTTATTTTTACAGCACACATCAAATAAACACCCAGGCAAAATTATATAATTGCTCTCAGAACACCATGAATCACAAACTAAGTATTAATATAAGGTTTAGGATTTCACAAAGGATAGGTCCACAGAGACAGATGTGGAAAAATATGCATACAACATACGTACATCAAATAAATGCTACATATGCCCCACAGTGCCCTTGAAAATGGGGAGGTCCTGGAGGATTGAACAAAACAAAAACAAAATAGAAAAACCTATGTACACTTTAGAAAATAAGGATTTTTCCTGTGTCATGGTGCAACAGAAGGCCTATATTTCACAAGATAATTTTCATTTTATTTTTAAATGTTCTTCATATTTTAAATATATAAATAGCTATTGTCTTCTATTTTCAAAGAGCTTACAATAAGGGGGGGATTTTTTCAAATATCTTTAAGGGACAAAAATAAAATGTAAGCCAGGAATCCCCAAACAAATCAATACTCTCAGTTCTGCAAAGCAAAACCCAGCATTTTCTTGAGAACTATACAATTAATAGTTTCAAAATACTCCTAAATATATTCGGAGAAGGTCTTAAATGTAGGCTAAAAAAATAAAAGAAAACATTACCTTCTAGAAAAGGGGGAAATTGAAAATTAGATCATCTCATTCTAAGAAGAATATGAGCATAATAGGACTATAATATATCTATCTACAGGCTATTAGCCTGACAGCTTTTTGGCCAGCCAGTGTTAATATATAGTACTATGTGTTATCACCAAATTTCAGAAATTGATATATTTACTATAAAACTGAAAATAAACTCATTATTAAACCATATTTTAAAATAATGGAAATAACTCACTTTAAGATAATAGTTGAGTTTAATAATATATTTCACTACATTATCCTTAAACATATACTATGTAATAATAACATTATTATTATTTCCCTTCTGATTTGGATAGAATTATTTGCTATTTCTTTTGTGAACTAAGGTAAAAACTTAGGTAATTTTGTTCATGTATAAGGAAGTTACATCGATTACAAATTAAGATCAAGCTTAAAGATCTGTGGGTAAGATCATTTACTCCAAATTCATAAATGCTATCTGCATGAAAAAGAATATCTATGTGGTTAAAAAGTTCTTAGGACATCTTATATCTTCCAATTTGTTTTTCTGGTATTGTAGCCAAATTAAGACTCTTTAGACAAGAGAAAAATCTTTGTTAACAAGAAATGAACCATTGTTTAATGGCTTAAAAGAAAAAACAATTTATGCATATTTTATAAATTTTCTTTACATCATAATGTAAAGATCAGGTATATGTCATTTACAAACTTCATACTTGTCACTGCAGAAGTTATAAGTGCTCTATTTTATACAAATAAATATCAGACAGGACTGTTACACTTTTAAAAGTAGAAGAAACTAAACATTATTTATTTTAACTATAAGAAAATTCAATAGAGAAATGGTCAAAGCAACTGCTAATGATATGTGACTTAATCAAACTGCACCGCTATCAACTGCTCTTTATTTTCCATTCTTTAAAGATTACTTTCTTTAAAAATGGAGACAGAGGTATCAGATAATATTGGTGAAAACAGAGTGTCCATAATGTTCATACTTCAGTTATCCTTTACGCTTTCATCTTTAACAACCTAGATGATCAGTGAGCTGCTTCATTATTTTTAGTTCAGTCAACTATTTTTGCCAATTTCTCAACCAAGAGGACAAGTTTCAATACATGTTCACTAGAGATTCAATAAGAAAAACTCATACCATTTAATTTTAATTATTACTATTCTATGAAAATAAAAAAATGATGTACACATTTGTTAAAAAATAACTTTTTACTTAACAAAACAGTAACAAACATCAAATAGCTGAAATCATTTTTAATGACTAACATCAGAAAATTATATCAATAAAAAATAGAATTAAAATCTCAAACTCTAGTTCAATGTATTGAAGTGACTCCACCAATGACACATGAGGAAAGGCTAAAGGGAAACAAAAATCTACATTTAGTTTTTCTCCGATACAGTAGCTTAGATCAAGGTGACTTTTGGCATTCTAATTCCTCCCATAAGAGTGACTGAAGAAGTGAGAAATTTTTGTTGCAAAATTGTGAATGGGGAGACTTGGCCAAAGCTTACAGCAACAGCCTTTTAATGAACTATTTGTTGAATAAATGCTCTTGGAAAACCAATAACAAAGTATAGTTAATATTCAAAGTAAACACTACATCTTTTCCTTACAATCCTGAATTTAAATAAAAACCATGCATATAAAAATCCTGAGTTTGACAAAGCTCTCTAGATAAGATTAGACTCAGAACTGGTAAAAATAACAAATATTTTCATATTTAATTTTTGTTGCACCTGGAGACATATTACTATTGTACATTAGCTATTTCATCCAATGGTCCTGACTATCCTTTGTGCACATGCTTTTAACTAGAACCTCTGCCTATTAGAAAAGAAGAAAAACTAAGCAAATAAACAAACAAACAAACACATAAATAAATAAAAAATGAAGGGAGTAGCAGATCCTACTTTTTATAAATTGAAATTTATAATGGTCAATACAAGGCTTATTCTTATGGGGTCTCATAATTTCCTTTAAGAAAATGAGATATGATATGGTATATTCAGAGTGAAACTAGAATATGTTAATGGTATTTGCCTCCTGAAATGGGAAGCTAAATTTAGAAGATCAAGTGAAGTGGCTACAGCTTATGTATAATGGGTGACAGACAGTGAATTACACCGTACACCTTTAAAATTACTACCCCTGTGAGATTCTACACATATCTGAACATATAATTTCCAAAGAGAATCAGTTCAGAGTAACTAAGACATTGTGATAAAAACTTTCAGACCCTTAGAGAGTTTCTACTTGCTCCATGATGAGTAGAAAAGGGCAAAGCAGAATCATGCCTCAGATTCCCAAGTGCAGGTGAAGCTCACTTAGCAGCTCAGACTGTGGGAGACTTCACAAATACTCTGAAGTGTGGCAGTTAAACACTCAAATGCCAAGAGTTTGTAGTGTGCGCCTGATGTTTTCGGACTGAGGCATAGCTTTGAAGCTTCCTAGCATGTAATGGGGAAAAGTACTTAGATGATCAGCTCACACTTCTCAGGCAACGAACTGGACTGGACCTTCGACTCTTACAATATTGTTTGAAGGACATGGGTCACAATGAGAAAAAGGAATGGCCCAGCGGCAGCGACACCTCCACGTGCTGAAGATGGAAAATGGACACTGTAATTGCTCTATGCGATCAAGTTAAAGATACTAGCATATTGCTAGCTGATCCATAAAGCGAGGGGAAGATGTACTTAAAAGAGACAGTCTCCCTGTAATTCAGAAACAGGTTTGGCAGGATAGGAGAAACTACCCAACTCTGGAACCAGGTCAACTCTTTTCAAACTCCAGCTCTGACAATTAGTTGTGAGGATAAAACAAAGCAATTTACCTCTCAGAGCCTCAAGTTTCCTTTGTCAAATGAGGCTATCCTATTCTTATTGTGAGGATTAGAATGATCTATTCAGCATTATTACTAATATATTGTAGTCACTCCATAAATGAGAGTATTGTTTATGTCTTGTTGTAAGTGCTACTTATTGCTTATAGATTAATTAAAATTAAGTAAACTAAAATAATTAGTTCTTCGGTCACAGTAGCCACATTTCAAGTGCTCAACTGCCACACATGGCCACTGGCCATCACACTGGACGTCACCAACACAGAACTTCCCACCCTGGCAGCAATATTATTGGAAGTGCTGGTCTAGAGACATGCTTGTCTGTGAAGAGACCTACTGGCCGTGCACATCACCC